AATGGGAGTGTTGAGTGCCACTTTGAACAAGCTGCTAGCAGGCTTCAGCACATCTGGAAGCTTGGTGGAAGCCTGCTAGCAACTTGCTTAAAGGGGCAATCAACACTCCTATTAGGATGTGTTCAACATTTAGAAATTGGAGCTGAATGGTACTTTAACAGTTTCAGCAAAGCTTGCTGAAAGCTTTGCAAATGCTTTGTCAAAGCTTGCTATTCACACTGCTCTTCTACAAGCTAAAGTCTGTTTGAAACAGACCTTAGTGAGTTAATTTTGAGGGCAGGAGGCCCCCAGTTGCTTGCCACACATCGCTGTCGGTCATCAGGCAGCCTTTCACAGAAATGGGCCAGTAATGCCTGCACTAACCAGATTTAAGACTCACTGGGACCCTAGCAAGGGACCTTCTTTGGAGCATACCAATTTCAGTGTTAATTTTTGGCTCATAAACACTTAAATATTGCCCAATAATAATATTGCCCATCTTTTTACATTTCAAATTAAGAATTAAGTAAAGATTTCAAATTCTAAATTCTCTTTCCAAATTCTTAAATTGTGTTAAAAACATAAACTGTAAAGAGACTATCAGTACAAAAAAAATGTATTCAGTTAGTATGCATTGTGCACTGTGATTTCAATTCAACTAACTTTTATTAAAATACAATTTGATTTTACCTGGATATAATTCCCACTATTACATGTCCGCATATATGAGATGTTTTTGAGGGAAACAAAAATGCCTGCTGTGTCAGTGACGGTCACTTTTCAGTTGCTGGAGCAATATGGCCATGCATTCTGCTATTATTTGATATCGGGAAAGCCAGTGACAGCTGAAGAACTTGTAAATGAATACATAGATCTTTACTGGAGTGTATTACAGAACAGGATAAAAATTAAAGTTTTTAATGAAAAGCTGAAAAAGCCTGATAAGAAAAAAATAGATTAGGAAAATTCTTATGAGCATTGTAAATAGAAAAACCTGCAAGAATCACTCAACATGCAGAGGTCCTGAAACCCCACCTATCATAGGCACCTGTCTGGCTGATCCTAAAAATAAATTATGTATATATATATATGTGTGTGTGTGTGTGTGTGTGTGTGTGTGTGTGTATATATATATATATATATATATATATACACACACACACACACACATATACAGTGGGGCAAAAAAGTATTTAGTCAGCCACCAATTGTGCAAGTTCTCCCACTTAAAAAGATGAGAGAGGCCTGTAATTGGCATCATAGGTAGACCTCAACTATGAGAGACAAAATGAGAAAACAAAATCCAGACAATCACATTGGCTGATTTGGAAAGAATTTATTTGCAAATTATGGTGGAAAATAAGTATTTGGTCAATATCAAAAGTTCATCTCAATACTTTGTTATATATCCTTTGTTGGCAATGACAGAGGTCAAACGTTTCCTGTAAGTTTTCACAAGGTTGGCACACACTGTTGCTGGTATGTTGGCCCATTCCTCCATGCAGATCTCCTCTAGAGCAGTGATGTTTTGGGGCTGTCGCTGGGCAACACGGACTTTCAACTCCCTCCAAAGGTTTTCTATGGGGTTGAGATCTGGAGACTTGCTAGGCCACTCCAGGACCTTGAAATGCTTCTTACGAAGCCACTCCTTCGTTGCTCGGGCGGTATGTTTGGGATCATTGTCATGTTGGAAGACCCAGCCACGTTTCATCTTCAATGCCCTTGCTGATGGAAGGAGGTTTGCACTCAAAATCTCACGATACATGGCCCCATTCATTCTGTCCTGTACATGGATCAGTCGTCCTGGTCCCTTTGCAGAGAAACAGCCCCAAAGCATGATGTTGCCACCCCCATGCTTCACAGTAGGTATGGTGTTCTTTGGATGCAACTCGGCATTCTCTCTCCTCCAAACACGACGAGTTGTGTTTCTACCAAACAGTTCTATTTTGGTTTCATCTGACCATATGACATTCTCCCAATCCTCTTCTGGATCATCCAAATGCTCTCTAGCAAACTTCAGACGGGCCCGGACATGTACTGGCTTAATCAGGGGGACACGTCTGGCACTGCAGGATCTGAGTCCCTGGCAGCGTAGTGTGTTACTGATGGTAGCCTTTGTTACATTGGTCCCAGCTCTCTGCAGGTCATTCACTAGGTCCCCCTGTGTGGTCCTGGGATTTTTGCTCACCGTTCTTGTGATCATTTTGACCCCACGGGGTGAGATCTTGCGTGGAGCCCCAGATCGAGGGAGATTATCAGTGGTCTTGTATGTCTTCCATTTTCTAATTATTGCTCCCACAGTTGATTTGTTCACACCAAGCTGTTTGCCTATTGCAGATTCAGTCTTCCCAGCCTGGTGCAGGTCTACAATTTTGTTTCTGGTGTCCTTCGACAGCTCTTTGGTCTTCACCATAGTGGAGTTTGGAGTGTGACTGTTTGAGGTTGTGGACAGGTGTCTTTTATACTGATAACAAGTTCAAACAGGTGCCATTGATACAGGTAATGAGTGCAGGACAGAGGAGCCTCTTAAAGAAGAAGGTACTGGTCTGTGAGAGCCAGAAATCTTGCTTGTTTGTAGGTGACCAAATACTTATTTTCCACCATAATTTGCAAATAAATTCTTTCCAAATCAGCCAATGTGATTGTCTGTTTTTTTTTTTCTCATTTTGTCTCTCATAGTTGAGGTCTACCTATCATGCCAATTACAGGCCTCTCTCATCTTTTTAAGTGGGAGAACTTGCACAATTGGTGGCTGACTAAATACTTTTTTGCCCCACTGTATATATGCTATATATACATTTTAATAAATGTTTTTCTTTTTGGTTGTTTTTTTTTTTTCCCCCCCTCCTACTGTATTAAAAAGTTCAGGCAGCTTATTCTTGGCTCCAGGAATCAGAATTTGTTTATTCCCCTGTTCTGTGGAGTGCATGCTTGCTGTCTGTTTGCCTGCTTCAATGTAACTTTGCATGTCCTGTACAAAATCAGCGCACTTTCCTTTGTAAGACTAAGCTTTACACTGCATGCAATACCTTATACATGGAATTTCCAAAACCTTTTCAGTTCCAATGATAAATCCATGTAGAGGGTTATAGGTGGCTTAAGATATGACGTCTGTTCTGTTTTGAATACACAGCTCTTAAATTTCTTTGAGTGAGATGCACAGATCTTTTCCTTAAAGGGTATGGCATGAGATGTACAGTGCAGTTATTTTGGAGCTTTAAGCAGCTGTTTTCTTTCTTCCTCTTTCAGGCAGATGTCCAAGTGGAGCAGAATCGACAACATTTTTTTGAGCTGTCACTTGAATATGTGTGTAAACTGCAGGAAATCCAGGAACGGAAAAAATTTGAATTTGTGGAACCTGTAAGTGAGGACAATGGTGTATATATACACAAAGGAAGCACTGATTTCTTATAAACTGATGGTGTTTTTTTCCTGTCATTTATGAACTACCGTGTCCTTTCAGTTTTACATGCAGCAGTATGTTGTAGTTCGGCCCCTTTCAAAACCGGGAACTAAAAAAATGGACAAACGGACAATAATATATTCCAATGGGAGTTTGGATGTATATGGATGAGCATCAGTATATATCAAACATCCATGGCCATTTAGGGCAACAATTGGAAACAGAATAGGTTTTCAGTGTTTATGCAGGCTTATTGGTGCAAACTAATGTCATAAGTTAGGGCCTGTTCACACCAGATGTTAAAGGACTGTGTTGGGCAGTTATTCCAAGACAAGGTAGATGGTGTGCGCTGAAAAAAAGTTTGACTTGCAGCGCAGTGCAACACAGTCCACACTGACACTAATACTAATTTAAAAAATGCTTTTTAAAAAAGTCCTACCCAAAATATATTAACCATGACTTTTGGCCCTATACCATAACTCTGACACTAACCCTGGCACTGGCCTAGATAAAGCCTTGATCTAGCTATTTTTTCTTTTTCGTTTATTCTTTTTTTTTCACACTTTTGTTAGTTTACATCTTTCTCTCCTGCAAGGAGAGAAAGATACAGTGCATCTTTCTCTCCATTCAGAAGAGAGAGAAAACATGGCTGCACAGTGACTGGTCACAATGATCTGTGAGGCTGCATATCTGTGTACTGTTGGCAGGAAGGGGTTAATAAAATGTTGATTTTGTGTCAATTCAATAAAGTTAACCCTTAGGGTTTTTAAAATGGAAAGTAAATCCCAATGTTTACAAATACAACACTTTTTTGATTACGTGTCCCAGGAAGAGGTGGCATGTACAGGATATACTTGTCATCCATCTTTATCATTCTAGAAAGGTGTGAAGATGGTGAGGAGTATCTCCTTCAAGACCCTTAAGCTTGTACACACAATGGGAATATTGGACAAATGATCGGTTTTTTTTTTTTGCATGCCAGTCTCATATCGAAAGTCAAGAGTTTTCTAAAGTTGTGAAAATTCTTCTACGACAAAAAATTTGGAAGTGATGTAATGTATTGTATTTTTGGGCAAAAATTGTGCTGATTAAACAAAAATCGTATGATCTGGTAACGAACGAGAAACATTTTCCTGCTTGTCCCTTCAAATAATTTTGTCCGAAAGCTGTGTACTAACAATCGGATTATTGTACGTTCGCTTTGAAAGCAGTATGTTTCATACAATTTTCTGATTGTGTGTACTAGACTTTTCTCGAATGCTTCACTTATTCAAAATATCTGTGTATGCATACAGTATATATGTAATGATTTATAGGAATTGAAACTGATCTGGTAGAACTGGGCATTAATGGATAACAAACAGATGTATACAGATTAAATGTAACCAATTTCCCACCGCCCTATAGCAGAAATACTGCTACAGGGTGGCAGGAGTGCGCAGTATCACATATATGTGTGTGATTTTGCATTTCCTGGTGAGCCATGCTGCCATTGGCGGCCTCGTTTTGTCAATCACCGGGTCCCGGCCGGTGATTCCCTGCTGGCACCTGGTGATCACCGAGTATCACGGACGCGGAAAGAGCTATTTATAAACAATACAGATCTCTCCCGTGTCAGCTCCTGCACACTGCTTTGTATGGCTCTGCATAGCAGAGCCATACAAAGCAGTGTGCTTACAGTGTAAAGCACACACAGTGAAACATCACACATTGTGTGGTTGGATCTCTGCCAATTGCTTGGCAGCACTGCAAAAAAAAAAAAACACAGGTACCAAAATTCTATTGGAAATGGGTATGTGACCAGTTTATTGCAAATCCACTTTGTAGCCACTCCAGTAAAGTTATTATCTTTTTACACCCAGTTATATTGTGAAGTATATTTATTACCTGTGAATGTCAAAGTTATCCATTTGAAATAACTTTTCTCCACGGAAAGTCAATGCATGACAGCAGGGAAATGTCTGTGGCCACTGTCTTAGTTAGAACATTGCAGTCACTGGCTCTGCCCCATAGTAATATTACATTTATAGACCATGTACTGAGTGTGCTGAGCATGTTTTCTTAAATCCCCCCCCCCCCCCCCTTCATGAGATAGAATTACCCTCTGAAAGCCAGAAAGTTAGCAGGAGCCAAATTTTTAAAACCTAAATTAAAGCCACTTGAAATTAAAGAATTAACACGGAGATAACATTTTCAGAAGAATCATTATTCCTACCACAGTAAATTCCGGTTTCCAGAAGACTACACTTCAGCTTTTTAAAGAAGAATTACAAGTCTGAACAGTCTGTATAGAATATAGTTAAAGGGCTGCTAAATCTTTCAATTTCAATTCTTCTTGGTGTCTTGGCTATGGGGGAGCTGTCAGCCAGCAAATCAGACTTTAAATCCACAGAAACTTTAGGGGAATCTAAAATCTGCTTCACAGTGTGCTGAAATACTTAGTGACAACTTCCTCCACTGACAGGTGGTCTGCTTTGTCTTTTGTCACTTCAATCCTACAGCTTTGGCTCATGGTAGGATATTTACAAGACAAATACAAATCAAGTCTTCAGGTTGTAGTGCCAAGGAGGCGGGTAGGTGCCTGTCAATGGAGGGACCTGATCCTGGTTATAAAGAAGTACAGGTATATCCGTTTTTATTATGCACTTTACAAAGCCATTAGCAAGGTAGATGGAGAGCCCTATTGTAAACCAATGAATTGTTTAGTAAGTAGTACAAAGAACAAAGCGCAGTGTGCAGAAACCAGTCAGAATATATTTTACTGATGGTATTCATGTGTCAATTTTATTCACTGGTACTACACTGTACTTTGCTTCTTTCACAGTGGTATTAAATAAGCCTGCTAGGCTGTGTATAACCCTGTCCATGAGACTGACAGCAATCATTTAAAGAGAATCCTCCGCAAATAGGGATTTGCAGTAATTAGAATTTTCATCTCTAAATTGTTATCATGCAGTTTATTTCAGGGATTTTTTTATTTACTTTTTTTCACCTGTCAAAGCCAAAGTTTCAGATTGAGTGTGTGCTGATAGCACTCGAGTCAGACCACCCTCTAACGGAAAATCAAGGAGAAATAAATGCAAAAAAAAACCCAAAACGAATGCAGCCACTACATCTAAGGACTAGTAAGCTACAATAGATAACATTTTTTACCTGGGTGTAGATACACTAAGTATTTTCCTTTTACTGCCCTCCAACAGTTTGTAGAGACTGCCTATTCCCAACACAGAAAGGATATCCTCTATTTGTGCTATAAGCTTGACACTGAGCTGACACTTCTGTTCTGGCAAGGGGATAATGCAAAAGGACACAGTTACAGTGAGGAACAGAAGTATTTGAACACCCTGTGATTTTGCAAGTTCTCCCACTTAGAAATCATGGAGGGGTCTGAAATTCACATTGTAGGTGCATTCCCACTCAGAGACAGAATTAAAAAAAAAAAATTCAGGAAATCACATTGTATGATTTTTAAAGAATTTATTTGTCTTGCACTGCTGAACATAAGTATTTGAACACCTAAGAAACAGCAAGAATTCTGGCTCTCAAAGACCTGTTACTGTGCCTTTAAAAAGTCCACCTCTACTCCACTCATTAATCTAACTTAGTAGCACCTGTCTGAGCTCTTTAAAGACACCTGTCCACCCCACAGTCAGTCAGACGCCAACTACTACCATGGGCAAGATCAAAGAGCTGTCAAAAGACACCAGAGACAAAATTGTGGACCTCCACAAGGCTCCGGGGCAATTGCCAAGCAGCTTGGTGAAAATAGATCAACTGTTGGAGCAATTGTTAGAAAATGGAAGAGGCTAAAGACAACTGTCAGTCTCCCTCGGACTGGGGCTCCATGCAAGATCTCACCTTGTGGGGTGTCACTGATAAGAAAGGTGAGGAATCAGCCCAGAACTACAAGGGAGGAGCTGGTCAATGACATGAAGAGAGCTGGGACCACATTTTCAAAGGTCACTGTCGGTAGAACAGTACGCCGTCATGGTTTCAAATCATGCATTGCATGGAAGGTTCCCCTGCTCAAGTCATCACATGTCCAGGCCTGTCTGAAGTTTGTCAATGACCATCTGGATGATCCAGAGGAGGCATGGGAGAAAGTCATGTGGTCAGATGAGACCAAAGTAGAACTTTTTGGTCTAACTTCACTCGTCGTGTTTGGAGGAAGAAGGATGAGTTGCATCCCAAGAACACCATCCCTACTGTGAAGCATGGGGGTGGTAACATCATGCTTTGGGGGTGCTTTTCTGTGAAGGGGACAGGGCGACTGCACTGTATTAAGGAGAGGATGAATGGGGGCAATTATTTTGAGATTTTGAGCAACAACCTCCTTCCCTCAGTCAGAGCATTGAAGATGGGTCGTGGCTGGGTCTTCCAACATGACAACGACCCGAAGCACACAGCCAGGATAACCAAGGAGTGGCCCGTAAAGAAGCATATGAAGGTTCTGGAGTGGCCTAGCCAGTCTCCAGACCTAAATCCAATAGAACATCTTTGGAGGGAGCTGAAACTCCGTGTTGCTCAGTGACAGCCCCGAAACGTGACAGATCTAGAGGAGATCTGTGTGGAGGAGTGGGACCAAAATCCCTGTTGCAGTGTGTGCAAACCTGGTCAAGAACTAAAGGAAACAAAGGCTTCTGTACCAAATATTAACACTGATTTTCTCAGGTGTTCAAATACTTATGTTCAGCAGTGCAAGACAAATTCTTTAAAAATCATACAATGTGATTTCCTGAATTTTGTTTTTAAATTCTGTCTCTCAGAGTGGGAATGCACCTACAATGTGAATTTCAGACCCCTCCATGATTTCTAAGTGGAAGAACTTGCAAAATCGCAGGGTGTTCACATACTTCTGTTCCTCACTGTATCCCTCAGAGCTAGTGCATAACAACTGAAATACCAACTCTGAAAATTTTCAAACACCTGTCAACTTATTGTACTCCGTGTCCCGTTTGGGTGATTTCTCCTTACTTCCTTTCTAAGTGACAGACCAGGAAGTGAAGAAAAATCCCCTCTTCCTGTCTATTTAGTAGATGTTAGACCGAATGATCAGAAGAGTCTCCTCAATGGGTAATAGACTGTATTTAAAACCCAAAAGAGGCTCTAACCCTTTTATACTTAATCTGAAATTAAAGTGTTACTAAACCCACAACAGTAAAATCAGTCTGTCTATGCAGTAAAGCATGCTTGTTATACTCACTGTGGAACCTAAGGGGTTAATCCTCCACATTCTGTAAAAAGGATGTGTGATCCTGTCTTCTCTGATCCTCCCCTTCCTGTAGTGTCTCCAAAATGTCTCCTGATAGAACAGGCTCGGGGGCAAGCTGCACATGCTCAGTTTGGTGTGTATTGTTAGAGAGGTTTTTTTTGTTTTTTTTCTTGGGAGAGTGCATGTGATCAGCACAGGGCCAGTCGGCACTGTCCAGACAGAGGGTCAGGGGTTCTGCATCCTTAGAGCCGGCAGGGACAAATGCAGCATAAGACCGAAGCTGCATCCACTTAGCTAAGTATGATTTTAAAGGAAAAACAAAATCCAATATTTTTAAGTCACTGGGCCAGCATGACACTTAAGCTGGCCATAGACTACACATGCGAGGTGGATGGTACATACCTCAAAAACAGTCCCCAAAAGGGAATCCTCTAACCAGCAAAAGTGGAGGGAATAAACTGGTGGGGGGGAGAAACCACCATATTAGCACAGATATACTTACAGCCAACCAAAAAAAAACATCATCACATCCATCTTTAATAGGAGAAAGTTGTGCCCATTCACAAAGTTTAGCTCCAACATTCACAAACCTCTATAAACAATATCACATTCTCAATATTGATAATGGATAATAAACTGAGGATATATTGTTGCTGTAAGTAGATCTGTTCTAATATGGTGTGTTTGAGATGATCCTCTTTTGAAGACTGTTTTGAGATATGTACAGTGCCTTGAAAAAGTATTCATACCCCTTGAAATTTTCCACATTTTGTCATGTTACAACCACAAACATAAATGTATTTCTTGGCGGATTTTTATGTGATAGACCAACACAAAGTTGCAAATAATTGTGAAGTGGAAGGAAAATTGATAAATGGTTTTCAAAATTTTTTACAAATAAATATGTGAAAAGTGTGGCATGCATTTGTATTCAGCCCCCCTGAGTCAATACTTTGTAGAACTGCTTTTCGCTACAATTATAGCTGCAAGTCTTTTTGGGGATGTCTCTACCAGCTTTGCACATCTAGAGAGTGACATTTTTGCCCATTCTTCATTGCAAAATAGCTCAAGCTCTGTCAGGTTGGATGGAGATCGTCTATGAACAGCAATATTCAAGTCTTGCCACAGATTCTCAATTGGATTTAGGTCTGGACTTTGACTGGGCCATTTTAACACATGAATATGCTTTGATCTAAACCAGTGATCTCCAAACTGCAGCCCTTTGATTGATTGCCTTTTATCTGGCCCTTGGGGCACTATTCCTCCCACTGATATGAGGCACCATTCCTTCCACTAACAAAAAACATTAATAACAGCGCAAATAAAATATATGTGCAACTTATAAAATCTCAAATAATACAAACAAAAAATTATACTGTTGAAATAGTCCCACTCCAAAAAAATAGAGAATATGGTGAATAAAATAAAGTCCTTATTCCAAGACCCTTGACCAGTAATCACACCCATTTGTGTTGTA